GGCTTAGAGTTTAACGTTTAAAGCTTAGGGCTTAGGAGGGTTTCAGGGCTTTGTTTAAGGTTGAGGAGTTTGGTTCGTGGTTCAGCCTTCAGACGTGAGGTGGGGGAGGGGCCCTGCCATTCGGCAGGAGCTGGTGCCGCTACGTATATTATCCTTAAAACACGTATAATCCTCATTAAGGTACTTATAACCTTAACTACGAAGTCCTATGATCCTCCAAGCGTGTAGGGTCACAGCCCGAGAGAAGCTAGGGCAGACATTTTCCGGAGATCTTTTGCGCTTGGCCCTGTATGTTTTCTGACCTGGTTTAACTCATAAACCATACACATCCCTGAACCCCAAATCCTGAATCCTAAACCGTAAGTCCTGCTTACAGCCTCGACCCCGAAGCTCTTGACCATAAGCCTAAACCCTGTAAGCCCATATCCTCTGAGCCCTTGAAGCCAAACCCCTAACGCTTTAATCCCTATCCCCCTCCACCCCAAAACCCGCAACTTGACCCTGAAGCTTAAACCCTAAAACACGCGCCCCCAAACCCCACACCCCAAACCTTGACCCCCTCCGGCCAAACCCTCCGAGGCTATGCCTTTCCTTTGCCACTGCTCCCCGAGTCCAGCGCGGACTTCCGGGCGACGTACATGCCCAAGTACGAAAGCTTTCGGAGATACTGTGAAGAAAAGCAGCTATGGTCCGAGTCTCAGAGAAGTTGTTTGAGTATGTCCCAGGAAAAGCTGGCAAAGGGGGGGTTTAGGGTTTAGGATCTCCGGGGTGGTTTGGCTTTAAGGTTTGGGTTTAGGGTTTAGGGTTTAGGGTTTAGGGTTTAGGGTTTAGGGTTTAGGGTTATCCCCAGCACTGAGGTCCGAGTACCGTTTCAAGTCCCACGTCTTCTTGCCCTGGCTTCATAATCTGCTCGCGACCTAACTCTCCTTGGTAATAACGTTTCTTTTTTTTGTGCAGGGGGCAGTCCTTTTAAGCTTAAGGCTGGAGCGACAGTAGGAAGAAGGGGGATGCTGTTTCAGGGGAAGTTCCTAAACATCCACCAGGCAGGAGCCTTTCCAACATCCCAATCTTTCTGCACCCTTCTTAGACTCGGCCCCTGGGTACACCCTAAGAAGCCTTCTACAGGGAAGTCCCTGGACCCTAAACCCTAAACCCAGTGAGGTGAAGAACGAGCGGCTCCAGGAGATGTCAAGGGAGCTCCTGTGCACAGATCACACCGTAACCGGGCTCAGGGGAAAAACAAGCTCCAGTATGTTTGGGGTTTCTAACGGGTTCTGTGAGGGAGGATAAGGCATCATCGAGTTTTAGGGTTTAGGGCTTGGGTTAGGATTGCGATTTAGGATGTAAGGCTTCTGTGCATTTGTGTTTCGTCTGGCTGTGGGAACACCGAGCTTGGTTGGGGATGCATGCTTGAGGTCATATGGTCCACCGACTGGTGTGTGAAGCCGCGGTCCTCGCCGCAGCACTTTACCTGGCACCAGGACTCCACGTACAGCAAGTTCGGCCTGAACGGCTGTACTCTCTGGCTGGCTTTCTCCCATGTAAAGGCATCCAGTGGCCCCATCTTGTATCGGAGGTTTTCGCAGAGAATGGGTCAGCTGAAGCACGTGGAGGATGCCAGTGACTCCTCGAACTTGCTGGCTTTTGGCCAATACATACCAGAAGACGAACCTACTCCGCTGATCCTAGGCTGCCTTGAAGGTTTGTGTGTGTGTGTGTGTGTAATTAGCACCGGTGCAATGCAGCCCTACACCTCAAGCCCTGAACACTACTGCGCCATCTGCAGCGTCTATGAGGTCACTGTAAAGCCCTTGAGTCTTATCGCCAGTATGGCTCCCCTAAACCCTTACCTAAAGCTTGGCCCGAAAGCCAAACCCTAAACCCTAAACCCTTTTTCCTAAAGCCAAAACCCACTCGAAGGCCCTGATAAGGACCTAACATAGCCGTCGGAATATTTGGCTAGAGGAACCCCCTTCAGGTGGAAGCCTTAAACTTACCGTATTCTAATTTTAAACGCTGCGCGTCGTCCGGCTCGGCCCGGCCGTATGTTGGGAGGAATACATGACGCCAGGTCTGGGGCGTTTACTTTCGCAGGATACCGGGGTACAGCGTCTGCAGGGTGAAGATTGATAGGGTTTGCGCATGGGAAAAGTATGTATATACATATATATATATACATACAACCGGTCTCTCTCTCTCTCTCTCTCTCTCTCTCTCTATATTTTGTGTATATTGTGTATGTATACATATAAGTTACAAAAATCTAATACGACCCCAAACAGCAGGTTGCGTTGTTTAACCTTAGGTTTTAAGACTTAGATGCTTAACCAAAAAACTAGGAGTCCCCAGGTGGAAACGAGAGCTGTGGAGGAAAGCTTCGGCTGGACGCCACGGAGTCGAAAAAAAACCTTTGTGCGCGAAGTTCCTCTTCTGAGTCGGGGGCGCAGAAGCGGGCTGT